AAAGCTAAGCTAAAACTAAGCTGAAGCTAAGCTGAAGCTAACGAAGCTAAGCTGAAGCTAAGCTAACGCTAGGCTAGCTAAACCAAAGATAAAGCTAAGCTGAAGCTACATTAAAGCTAAGCTAGAGCTGAGCTAAAGCTAAGCTAAAGCTACGCCAAACCTAAGCTAAAGCAAAGCTAAATCTAAGCTAGCGCTAAGCTAGCGCTAAGCTCAAGCTAAGCTAAAGCTAAAGCTAAGCTAAGCTAAGCTAAACTAAGCTAAGATACAGCTGAGCGAAGCTAAGATGAAGCTAAGCTGAGCTAAGCTAAGCGAAGATGATATAAGCAACGCTAAGCTAATGGGACGTAACTGGGGGAACCGCGGGGCGGATACTGGGGGAACCGCCCGGGGCGGCGCCCACTGCCCGGCCCTGTAAGCATACCGAGGGAGAACCCTTCCAGGCAGAGCCTAGGTAGGGAACTACTCAAACATATTCAGAAAACTGTTTTTGTATAATAAAAACTCAAAAAATAGTCCCAATATCATTTTCTCACTGTTTTAGAACATTCCTCCTGTAGAGGGACAGGCCCGACTTAAACATGATTTTTGGCGTCCCGCGCAGATTTCTTGGATCTGCGCTGGGCCGGGCCCCCCCGTACCCCCCCCTCCCTGGCGAGCGGAACGCGCCGGGGGCGGCGCTGGAGGCGTCGCGGGGGAGGGCCCAGCGCGATCCCAGAAACCCGCTCGGAGAGCCAACAGTTTCTGTTCATGGCGTTTTTGCTTCTTCGGCTGAGTGCGGCTGGCTGGGGGCTCGGGGTCGCGAGTGGGGCAAGGAAAGCCAGGCCCACCAACACCAGTGATGGGCAACTTTTCCACCACCACTACCACATGGAACACGGGGCAGAAGGGAGGATGAGGAGGTCCTCCTCCTCCCATCCCCCTCCCCTTCCCCCTCCCCCTCCTCTTCCTCCTCGTCCTCCTCCTCCTCCTCCTCCTCCTCTTCCTCCTCCTCCTCCTCCTCCTCCTCCTCCTCTTTCTCTCTCTCTCTCTCTCTCTCCCATCCCAGGGGGGTGGCGAGCCCCCGCGGAGTCCACGCATACAAACAAAGTCCTGCTCGATGACGAACTCCCTGTGCGGGCCCACCGCCAGGCGCGCACAATGGACGTGGCCGAGATGGCGACGCCCTCCCAGCTGCGCCTCCACGCCCGCGATCTCGCCAGAGAGCTGCGGGGCGGCGGCCGACGGCCACAGCTGGCCGCAGCCGCACGCTGGCTGGCCTCAGCCTGCTCCCTCGGAGTGCGGCAGAGGCCCGCACGAGAGGAAGGAGCCCTCGACCAGCGCCCATTCAGTTTCCTCATCCTCCTGCGAGTTCGCCTCAGGGTACCTCTCAGGCGGGACGAGGAGGTCGAAGAGCTCGCTGTCTTGTGGCCACGGTTGAGTGCCACCACTGCGAAGCGCATGCTGCGCGACCAGGAATGCCTCGCCGAACAGCTCCAGGAGCGGTCGCGGCAGATCCAAACTGCGGCTGGCCACACATGCAGCAGGCTGCGACACCAAGCCTCGCTGATGCATGGACTCGGAGAACTGCTGGCAGTTGACGGCCAGCACCTGACCAAACTCGCTCTGCAAACCTCCGAGGTCGGCCATGTCGAACGTGGTCATCGTTGCTTCGGGCCTGTCCGCCAATGCTCGTACACATCAAGTCTCCAGAGGGCGGCTGCCCGCTCGGCCACAGGGGCCGTGTGGAGGAGCAGCGCAGCAACACCCACAGCAGCAGCAGACGCCAGAAACAGGATACCCGCTCTGACCCCAGCGTTCTCTCTGCGCAGCGTCGCAGCCCAGTGCTTGCTGAGCCTGTCCGCTCCCCAAGGCTTGTCATGCGGTCGAACTGGTAAGCTCCTGGCACTGCTCGAGCCCTGCATTGCCGTCCGCGATGCCGTCGGCGGTGCAACAAGCACTCCAAGCACTACACCCGTTTGAATCCTTGAGAACATTTTATCCAAGAAACTTGAGTCCTCCAAATCCTGAAAATGCGATGGGTCGTTGCAATCGATATACAATACAGCCATAGTGAAAACATCAGTATGTCTGCTCACCATATCGCCGAATTCCTCCACCAGTCTGGGGCCCCATCCCAGGTGTAAAACATATGTAGAAGTCTGCTGTCTCAGGGGGCCGATGGGCAGCGGCTGCAGCTCAGAAATCCACTGGACGCGTGGCGGTAGAGGTCTCTCATCAGGTACAACTGCCTGTCGTACATCAGGGATCGCAGGGCGAAGCGGAGCATTTGACCTGAGTCCGTGCTTCCGTTTGTCCGCTGCAATCTCCTGGTCATGCCTCTGCCACTCAGCAACAGCCTCTGCTTCCAGTGGTGCAGCGGAAGCCAGGAGGTACGTAAGGCAAGCACCATAAGGCCTCCGCAGATGCCGCACCAGTCCTGCTCGCTCGGAGAAGCTCGCCTCACACCAGAGACAGTCGGTTCCATCTGCAAATAATTGTGCCGCGTCAACTGGTCGGTGCCTCCTGGTCCAATGTCCCCTATACCCAGCAATGGTTGTGAAGCTCTGGTTGCACTCGTAGCAGAAGAAGGCTGTTTGTTGTCCATCGATGCCCGTGGCACCCAGTAATCCAGGAAACACATGGTTGATCTTCCTCTGCACAAAATCGTTCCTATATTGGTCCAGGCATTGGGTTTGGTAATTGCTCCAAGCACTGCGAAGATGCATGTGACATATCTGTATGTCGGCGGCAACAAAATTTATCGACTCCGCGAGTCCCTCGATGGTATCAGGCGGTGCGTCGGGGACTTCGGCACAATAGCATCGCATCCAGGAAACACCATCCGCTACCATCGAGGCCCAAGACATAGGTGCACCAACTGTAGCATCCAATACCAGTCGTAACGTCGGTGGTCCTGCATGCATAAGCCTGGCTACATAACTGAGCCTGCGAAATCGCAACACCTGCTTGAACTCCATTCGGCCTGCAATGGCCAACACCTCCGCATCTGTTGTAGGATTCTGCGTCATAGCGCTGTGCAACTTCTTTGTTGCCACTCTATAGCCAGATACCAATGAATGGTTCAGCTTCGTGAGGCTTGTGTTGGACAACTGATCCCATGTCTCAGCCTGGAAGAAAAGATGTGTGATGCACAATGCGTCGATGTACTTGAGCTTATCCATTGTGGCGATGTCGTGCTTGATGAAAGCTGACCGCAGTGGCCTAAGCGCAGCAGTGTACTTCTGGCGCCTACGTAAAACCTCCTGCCCAGTGCTGTCGTCGCTTGTATATATTCCTCCCACGTGTTTGTATGAAGACTGAATGGCAATACGATCGTTGGAGGAACTGTCCAGGGCCACTGCTGCTGTCATAGCCATATCCCGCTTCGCCTTAATAGCACCTTCACCATAATATGAGATAGCAGCTGCTGTTTTTCCCTTGCCGAAATGCAGCTTGAAACCCGAACCGACCATATGCTTGCGGACAATACGTCCAAGCGTCGCCACATGATCGCGCACATTCGCTGGAACAAAACAAGGTGAACAGAAACCTGAATCGTCGACAAAGGTTGCATCTGTCATGGTGTCGCCTCCAGTGGAAAGTCCCTGCGAGAATACTTGGCTGGACTGGTCCACGCAGTCCATGAGGTCGAAGGCAATACCAGCTTCAATCATGTCATGCTGAATACCACGTAGGGGTCGAGCGTACACCGTGTTAAAGACAAATCGGCCAAGGGGTTCCCAGCTCGCGAACTACGTTGAGAAACTATCCACTGTTTATCACCAGGTACTCGGAAATGTGTGAGCCTGTGGGCTTCAATACCTTGTGCTACCAAATGCTGATCCACTTTGTGGTCCACCTGAGCAGGCGCAGCCAAGATCATCTCCAACAAAGAATGGGCAATACCTGGTGCATTGTCTATAACCTGTGCCACATATTGTTCAGTACCTGCTAGTGGAATCCCAGCTTGCCGTAACAAGGAGTAGAACGCCGCCACCAAGTCCACAAAGAGTACAATCGCAATGAATCGCCTTGATTTAGCTATCTGCCGAAATACTCTAATCATTTGCGATGCCATGCCTGCACAGCGCCCCTTGATGCCCCCAGTCTGAGAATCGACCATGAGGTACTTCCTCCTCCACCTCCTCCTCCTCCCTCTCCTACCTGTGGTAGTCTGGTGGAAAATGGCCCCACCACCACCAGGGAAACCTCTGCCCCGCTGGCCGACCCAGGTACCCCATCCCAGGGTGGGGATGAGGGGTGCCGTCTCCTGCGGGCCTCGCGGCGGCTCTCCCCACCTCACTAGAGAGAGAAAGAGAGAGAGAGAGAGAGAGAGCATTGCCGGGAGAACTGGCGTTAGGTCGAGCATGTATTCCCACAGACGGATCTTGGAAGACAAATAAAAAGAAAACAGCCAACGAATGCCTCCAAAACAAGCAACAACCAATTGAAACATCGTCCCCTGACTATTTGTTAGACTATTTGTGAATTTTCCTCCTGTAGAGGGACACGCCCGCCTTAGCACTAGCTTACCCTGTCCTGGTAGGTGGGGATGGCTCTGACGATGATCGAGCTGCAGTTGGGCCCAGCCGGCCCTGCCTGAAGAGGCTGTCCGTGCAAAACTCCCCCTAGCCCAGAGCTGCGACGTCTTGACGCTGACAGTGCCCAAGCCCAGGAGCTCCGGGCCCCTGCCCTGCACCGTCCAGATGTTTTCCCAAAACGTTCCAGTCTGGGTCGCAACACCCAAATCGACATCGTCGACCTCTGCTGGGGTGATGTGGTGCGTTCAGACTACCATTTCGAGGCGGCCCTGACCGTGGCCCTAAGTAGCCTCCCCGGATATTTTGAATAGATCTATGTATATATATATATATATATATATATACACACAAATGTTACTGTCCTACGTCTCGATGCTCGGAACTCGATGATTGCAGCGCAGACGGAAAAAAAACAGGTGTTTCGAAATGTTGGGAGGCCTGGGAGCCCTGGCCGCGGCGGCGGGGTGACCGCCGGCCAGCTCCTGCGAGTGAGCGAATGTGCGGGGTACGTCGGTGTCGATGAGCTTGGCGACGCTCTCTGGCACGTCCTCGCTGCGGAAGAGGCTCCTCTCTTCTCCGGGCTGGTCCTGAGGAGGAGGTTTGGAGTCCCGAAACGGTGCGGTGACGGACCGTGCGGTGACCTTGAAATCCCCCAAGACCTCACCGCACGGTCCGTCACCGCACGGTCTTGGGACCCTGGAGGCCCCAGTCGCCCGAGATCTCCTCGGAGAACGACCCGAGTCCCAAAACCGTGCGGTGACCCCGAATCCCCACCGACTCACCGCACGGCGTGGTCACCACACCGTTTGGGGGCCCCCGAACAGGACAGGAACGGACAAGCGCCGATGTGCGGTCCAGGGGGCGGCCCTCGAAAAGCTCGGCGGGGGCGCCGGAGTGCCGAAACTCAGACGTCGTAGTACATGGTTACTTTACAATCTCGAGTGCGTACTATTGGTTCATCTGGTACAATCCTGCCCTAAGACGAGTCCAGGACGAGGACAGCTTCGAGTGAGGATATAAATCGAGAGTCTCTGATGTCCCGCGGCTCTGGAGGATGCCTCAGGCGCCGCGGCCTCGCGGCCTTCAGCGCTCTGGAACGCTCTGGAACGGACATGTCCTCGTCCTAGCCCCGCCTGGCGACGACGACGACGACGACGACGACGACGACGACGACGACGACTACGACGACAACGACGACGACGACGACGACGACGACGACGATTACGACGACGACGACACCACCAACGGCGACGACGACGACGAAGACGACGACGACTACGACGACGACGACGACGACGACGCCGACGACGACGACGACGAAGACGAGAACGACAACGACGACGACGACGACAACGAGGCACGTTGCGGAAACGCCCGCACTGCGGGGCTCCACTCCTCCCTGGGCTGTGGTCCCGCAGGGAGGAGGCTGACCCGGGTCGCTTCTGGGGGCACGCCAAGGGGTGCTGTCTTGAGGCCCCAGGGGGCTCTTGCAAGGATTGTGGGGGGGAGGGCTCCGGTTGGGGCCCCAGGAGGGAGGGGGAGGAGGCCAGAAGCGACGATGTGCGAGGCTGCGACGAGGACGAGGACGACGCCGAAGGTGCTGCCGCTGCGACGAGAACGACGCCGAACTTGACGACGCTGCGGCGAAGACGAGGATGAGGACGATAATGACAGCGACGGCGGCGAGGGCCCTCAGCCTCTGCCCCGACCCCCCCTCCTCCTCCTCCTCCTCCTCCTCCTCCTCCTCCTCCTCCTCCTCCTCCTCCTCCCCCTCCTCCTCCCCTTCTCCTCCTCCTCCCCTTCTCCTCCTCCTCCTCCTCCTCCTCCTCCTCCTCCTCCTCCTCCTCCTCCCTCCTCCTCCTCCCTCCTCCTCCTCCCTCCTCCTCCCTCCTCCTCCTCCTCATCTGCCCTCCTCCTCTTCTTCCTCCTCCTCTTTCTCACAAGCCATTGAGCACTCTGACAAATTTTCTTCTGTGTGTTTCGGGGAAGGCTCAGAAAACTTCCCAGATGGCCGGGGGACTTCCGAGCTTTCTGAGAAGACCAGCCTCTTCTCTGGAAAAAAACAAACAAACGTAAAAACAGAAAGACCGCCGCCAGGGCGGCCCCAGCGCAGATCCAAGCAATCTGCGCTTAACGCCGAAAGTGTATGTGTGTGCCGTCTCTTCTTCTTCGACGTCTCGCTTCCCCCCGCCCTCGCTCGCCGCCGAAACGCGCAAGGCCATGTGTCGGAACCGAGCGGCGCGGCCTCCTCCGCCTCCTCCTCCTCCTCCTCCTCCTCCTCCTCCCTCCTCCTCCTCCTCCTCCTCCTCCTCCTCCTCCTCCTCCTCCTCCTTCTCCTCCTCCTCCCCCGCCTCCTCCTCCTCCTCCTCCGCCCTCCTCCTCCTCCTCCTCCTCCTCCTCCTCCTGCTGCCGCGCTGCCCGGAGAGGCCCCTGGCCTCCGGCGGTCGCGCCGGCTCCGTACCCCTCCGATGGCGCGGGGCCCCGCAGAGCCTCCGGGGGCGGCCCTGGTCGCCGACCCCGAGGCTGCGCTTCGGTGGGCACCCGAGGAGGACAAGGACGACGAGGACGAGGAATAGGAGGAGGAGGAGGAGGAGGAGGAGGAGGAGGAGGAGGAGGAGGAGGAGGAGAGAGACGAGGAGGAAGAGGAGGAGAAGGAGGAGGAGGAGGAGAAAGAGGAGGAGGAGGAGGACGAGGAGGAGGAGGACGAGGAGGAGGAGGAGGAGTAGGAGGAGGAGGAAGAGGAGGAAGACGAGAAGGATGGGGATGATGATGATGATGGTGAGGCGCAGGTGGAGGGACGGGAGGATCATGGAGTGCTTGGGCCCCTCTCGGCGGTGCCCCCGGGCTGTGGGGCCTCTCTGGGGGCGCCCCAGGCGGCCGTGCGGCCTCGCGCCCTGGGGCGGCGTGCTGCCCGAGGGAGTCGACCCGCACCACAGGGATGCGCGGCAAGGATGCAGGGGCCTTGGACTTGGACTCGCTGGCGTCTCTCGAGCGAGGCTGAGGTCTCTCGACCGAGGCTGGCCGGCGAGGGCCGCTGCGGGTGGGCCGAAAGAGGGCACGAATGCAAGGCTGCCCTCGGGAATTGTTGCCCATCCTTCCCATGCGGGTGGACTGCGGGTGAACGTTCTCACATTCGGCGGTTCGACATGGGGCACGAGGGGCTGGGAGGGGGGGAGGGTCTGGCTGCGGGCCTCTGCTTGATGATGCGACTGCTTGCAGCAGTGCGTCCTACAGGGGGGACTCTACCTGCTTGAGGCCGGCGCCAAACACAGCCAAGATCTACTCCATGGGGGGGACGAGGGCCCGCGCCCATAGGCAGCACGAGGAATAGGAAAACGATCACCAGTGGCGCTCCAGCAAGGCTGTGGCTAGGCCTTGGAGGGCCACCTTGCCTTTCTCTGTGTGTGTGGGGCTCGAACTAAATTGTGTTTTTTGCCGTGTTCGGTTTGTTATCGTCTTCCCTCGCTCCGTCTGCGCTCTGCCTCTGCTGCGGCACGGGCGCAAAACGAAAACGGGCCACGAAATCGCCCAAAAACACCGTGTGGCTCGAGCTCTGTTTTGTGGCGACCTCTCCCCGAGACGCGGCCCTGGGGCCATTTCTGCGGGGATCCCCCTTTGCGCCAGGGAGCGCCCCCCCCCAGGAGGCCGGAATCCGCGAGAGGCTGCCCGTGTCGGAGGCCGGCTGCCCCGCTGCGCAGCCCGTTGCACGTAGCGTGTTGATACGGAGCTCAGCGCGCAGGCTGAAAACCTGTGTCTGACGAGATGCGTTCGCCACAACTGAGGAGAACAATTATCGTCGGGATGCAATGAAGGATACCTTCGGCCGCCTGCGGGTCATGATCTCCCCATTTCTCCCAGCCCCGTGCTCCGAACCCGAAAATCGTCTTGCTGAAAAATGTGGGCCAATACGTTGAGCCAACACGCAACGTATTGACACGGACGTTTTGAGCAAGGTACGTGCTGCCTCCGGAAGCGGGCGTATCGAGGCAGCTCAGGACGGTCGGAGCAGACTGGGGCTGAAGGATGGCAAACGCCTCGGCGACGTCGGGGTGGACAACAAGCGGGCTCTGGCTCGCGATGCCGCGCCATCCTTCCGCCCCTATCGTCTCTGGCCTCATCTGATACCTCGGTGCAAAAAAAAACCTGCAGCGAAGACGGGTTGCACCTCGTGGCGGGGCGATGCTTGCTTCCGCCGCCTCCCGCCGGCCATCCGACGGCCCGCGCCCGCGGGCCAGGCGCGCCGGGGGCGCGGCCCTTCCTGGAGCGCCCCGGGTGGCACCGCATCGCCGAGGCGCGGGCGCTGCGTCGCGCGACCCGCGGGCCCCCCTGGGCACCTCCCAGCGGCATCCCCCGGGGCCTCCCGAGAGGCTGCCGAGAGGCCTCCTGTCCACGGCCCGGGCCATGGGGGCGGGCGGGGCCGAAGGCCAACACATGCTCTGGCCGCACGCGGGCGGCCCGGATGGATCTCTGCGCGACCACCAGATGCGCCACGGAAGCAAGCGGGAGCGAGGAGGGAAAGGATGAGGCGAGAGTTTGGACACCTGAGGTGGGTACGGCATACATGGGCACGTTGCCCAACGCCGACGTGCCCGCGGCGGCACGGACAGCGAGCCCTGTTCAGAATGAAGAGGAGCTGCTGTCGGTCCTCGTACCAATTATTTCCGTTCGGACTTGAGCGATGATGAGAAACGGGTCTTCCGCAAGATGACGTAGCGACCTTACGCAGCAGCTACGCGGGCCGCCAGCGCGGCACGCTGCATTGGAAACGAGGGCGCCGACGCGCGACCTGACCCGAGCTTCTTCGGCACGAATGTCGGCGCAATCGACCCCGTGTTTTCTGCGACGCTCGGGTGGCTGGGGACGGCGACGGGGGTTGAGCAGAGACAGGGCGCCCCGGCATTTCTACAGGCCTGCAGAACCTCGACGTGTTGAAACAAGACAGTCTCAACCAGAAATGTTAGGTGAACATGTCGTGCAGAAAACAAACAGGTTCTTTGATCATTCTTGTGGGCCTATAGGCAAACCAGGACGCTTCGCCACTGCTCCAGGGGGGGGGGGGCCCTGATATCGCCTCCGGCGCCCCATAGGCACCGCCACTCGCAGCCCTTTCTCGCCGTGGATTCCCGCGCCCCAGAACTGCCACCAGAGGCCGACGTCGATGAGCAACAAGCCCTGCGACGATCCCCACTAGCCCCCCGTCTTGCTTTTGTCCTCTTCCTCCTCCTCCTCCTCCTCCTCCTCCTCCTGCAATTCATCCTCCGCCTCCTCCTCCTGCTCCTTCTCCTCCTCTTCCTCCTTCGCCTCCTCTTCCTCCTCCTCCTCCTCCTCCTCCTCCTCCTTCTCATCATCATCATCATCATCATCATCATCATCATCATCATCATCATCATCATCATCATCATCATCATCCTCTTCCTCTATCTCCTCCCCGTCCCGGCGAACAAGGTCGGCGGCACCGACCGCAAGGCCTACTAAATCGAGGAACAAAAAGCCCACCGTGCTTGCTCTTCCTTGGGCGCGAATGAACGGGACGGAAATGAATGCGGAGGGGAGCGAGCGGTTCCCTGTTCGGGCCCTGAGGGCACCC